GACAGGACTTAAAGTGTCAGTGGGAGAACCCCACACCCTCAGGACCTATCCTGCAAAATCCACCTTTTTAGCTCTTAAACACATTTTGCTGTGAACTTGGAGTCTCTAGGAGAAAGAAAAGTTGAATGTAGTCTCTCCTGGTGCTGCAGAGATACAGTATCTGTATATTCTGTTTGGGTCCGATTTTTCAGCCCGTCCAGGTTTCTTTGTTTTCTGTGATGTTTTGCGAACTATTACATCAAATTATTGGAGATGGAATTACCATATAAAGTCTGGACTTAATCAATGTCCTTGTCTTAATTCTTCTCTACTTCTGGGTCAGACTCTGGTTCTGGGTCAGACTCTGGTTCTGGGTCAGACTCTGGTTCCAACATGTAAGGTAGGATGGACAAGTCTTCTGTTGTTGACATCTTTTAATTAAATTGTAAATAAAATGTTTCTGCGTGCTAAAAAAACGGAACCCCCTCTCTCTCAAACCAGAGTGGAAGCCAGAGGGGGCGGGGCTTGAGGTGTCTTAAAGGGGCAGTAACAAAACCAGCTGCTTTGAAACACACCTCAAAAAAAGGGGGGTGGGGTGTGAAAGAGGGGCTGGTAAAGTTAGAATAAAAAGGAATTCAGACCAAAGCTTTGTAGTTCCATTTTATAAAGACCCAACTGAAGGATTTAAATGTGAAAAGGAAGGATTTAAAATAATCAAATGTCAACTTTAAATGTTTTTATCTGCTGTAAGTTTTAAAAAGAACTTCTCACAAAGACTATATACTCCAGTCTGTAATGTCCCTGAATGAATGACATCTGATTGTAAATGAAGCTCACAACATCAAACCATTAGAAGTATTTTATATAAATATAATTTATAAGSCTTTATGATGCAGAGAGTTGAAGTTATTCAGTCAGTTTGTCTTCATCAGAAGAATTATGCAAAACACACAGATGTGACATTTTGGTGCAGAGTCTCTTTAAACAAAGTTTGGTGTCAGGAGAGATTTGATCTTCCCACTGATGAAAGAAAAGTGGAGTGCGTGTTTTGTCTGAGTGTGTGAGGAAGTTGTGTTTTTGCAGTGTGAGCCATGTATGTTTGTTCTGACATACATGGAGACAATGAGACAGACGAGCACGCTGAGAGAGGGAGAGGAGACATTACCCMATGAAGCTCCTTCAGACAGGTCCCAGCACAGACACAGAGAGAGGTGGGGGTCAAAAATACACATTAAAACACACACACACACCTATGTTGTATGTATGTATGTATGCCCAGCTATACATTTGGGGACATTCCATTGACTTCCATTACATTTCTACAGCCTAACCCTGACCACAAACCCATGTATGTATGTATGTATGCCCAGCTATACATTTGGGGACATTCCATTGACTTCCATTACATTTCTACAGCCTAACCCTGACCACAAACCCTAAGGCTAACCTCACAGGTACCTACCTGACCCTAAAACTAACCTAAACTCAATTCACACCTTGGTCCTAAACCCAACCCCCAACCCACCAATGGCATTTAAACCAAATGGGGACTCGACTTTTGTCCCCAAATGCACCAATTGTCCCCAAATGTAGGAGTTTTGTCTTAAAATTGCCCCCAAATGTCACCAGAAACAAACCCATGGCTGTCAGTCCTTCAGAATTCATCAGTAAACTTGGTGCACAGCTGCAGATGTGTGAACACACCTGGTGCACATCCACCCTCAGGTCTGCTTCAAATACATCCACATTACTTCCAGTAAGGTACATATAGTATACATGATAGTGAGAACCTGAGTCCACCCTGTGTTTCCATAAGTTGGACTGGTGCTGGATGACCAGTGTTATCAGTGTTATTACTGTCATCAGTGTTTTACCGGACCAATGCTGCTGATGAGACTAGCTCTAACCCTATGGTTTATGGTTTATGGTTTATGGTTTATGGTCTATGGTGAGTGGGGATGGATAAAGAACTCATAGAAGCAGGGGCTTCACAAGTGGGCCCATTGCTCTACACACAAAAAGACACGGAGTTTTATTAAAACCGTGTTCCTCTGATGAAGGACGCCAGGTTAGAAACACACAGTGTTCTGAGCTTCTCAGGATCCATAAAGGAATTACTTTCCTTTGACTGCTCAGAGCCAGGCAGTGGCCTAAGTAGTGCAAAGAGGTCTGTAGTTCAATGCCACAGGCATCACACAGACCACTGCCATGGAGTCCCATCACCATTTAGTGGTGGTTGAGCAGATTATGCTCAGTTAGGACTCCAACCAGTGTACTTAAGAGTTTTCCTTGTCAGGGAGATGAGAGCTTTCCCAAACCTAAGATTTGGGCCGTTAATCAGTTCCTGTGCCTGTCTACAGTCCGTCAGCTCCCTCCAGAGGACTGAGTGTTGACGTCTAATCCAGGCCTGTAGGGCAGTCCTACAGACTGTTGTTGAGATACCTACAACAGGCTCTGGGCCCTAATGTATAAACGGTGCGTACGCGCAAAAAAGTTGCGTACGCGCAAAAAAGTTGCATGCGCCCGATTCTACGCCCACGTTGTTATGTATTAAAACCAACGTTGCGTGAAAGACTGCGTATATTTAGGCACACTTTTCACCTGCCGTGAGAATGTGCGGCAGCCACGCAAAGTTTTTCAG